TCACTAAAAGTATGCTTGTGTTTAGCATATTCCTTAAAAGTGTAACTAAAAATATATTTATTAACATAGTATTTCTACTATACTTTTTAGAAATATACTAATAGTGTGCTTGTGTTTAGCATATTCCTTAAAAGTGTAACTAAGCATATATTTATTACCAAAGTATTTCTAGTATACTTTTTATAAATACATTAAAAGTATGCTTCTGTTTAGCATATTTCTTAGAAGTATAACTAAGCATATATTTAATACAAAAGTACTTCTAGTATACTTTTTAGAAATATATTAAAATGCAATTCAATATATTTTTATTGCACTTCAAATAAGCATGTTGGGAATACAAATGTATTATAAACATACTACTTGAATTTCAAGTATATTTTTAATACATTTAATACTACGTCTTTTTCACCTGGGACATCAAACTCTTTCATCTTAGAAGTTCAAGGAAAATTCGATTCCTCATGATATGACCACTTTAAACAATATCTTGGTTTGTCTGAAAGATATTTTACTCGTGCTTCAGGGAAAACTGTACTGGCCACTGCAATAACAGTTCCCTTGGTGAACCATTCCTCAAGCCCATAATAATTTTTCATTGTTTCAGTTTGTCTATTGCCTCACTCACATTTTTGTGGCACCCTGCATGTGTGTGCAGAGCAGTACGCCAGTTATCTTCCAGTGTGTGCTTATAAGTACGTGTGTGTGCATGTTCTCTAGATGTGCCTTCGGCCCCCTCTATCGAGCGTGTGGAGCCGTATTCCAGCACAGCAATGGTGGAGTTTGATGAGCCTGCCTCCAGTGGAGGAGTGCCTATTCTCAAGTACAAGGCTGAATGGAGGATAGCAGGCCAAGACTGGACTGACAGAGAGCATGAAGTTGAGGATGGTAAGTATCCAACACACACACTGTAATAACATTTATTCAGAACTGGAAGCAATGAAGAGAGAAAACAAGATAAATGAGGCTTTTGGGAGGCTATAAAAGCTTTTCCTCATTTGTGTGAAGGTCAAGCTCTTGTTTTTATAGCATTGTTTTATACAGAAATGACCATAGATGCTCAGATGATTGTATTAGAGCAAGGGTTTTAACTTAGTTATATTGATTTAGTGCAGCTGTTTTTAAAAACACTGTCCTAAGGCAGATTCCAGAGACAAGCTATTTTTCTGCCTGTGCTGAAAGTAAAAATATAAAACCACAGCCAATCAGAACAGTGTGTGTTTGCACACTTTCTCGCACTTGCAACACACTGCGTAGTGTACTACAGATGGCCCTTTTATGGTTATCCTTGAGGAACTTGAAGAATTTGTACTGAAAAAAAGAAAGTTATATATAAGAAATAGGCACATTGTGACATATGAAGTCACACTGTACAATAAAAATTCACAATTCCGAGATATAAAGTCACAATTATGAGTAACAAAGTTGGAATTGGTAGATATGAAGTCACATTATAAGATATAAATTTACAGTTATGAGTAACAAAGTTGGTATTGTTACTCATAAATGACCAAGATGGCGCTGCGGATGGCAGCCAAGGTTTGTCGCTACTTGGTACTTGTACTTTTTTTGTTTGTCCTGTCTTAAGCAATTTTTTCCCGATCGGCTTTACTAGGAACGAACTCCTGGACATCAGAAATAGCACACCAAATAACTTTCTGCCGACATTTGAGCATTCAGATGTTTTACTGGACATTTTAGTCGGAGGAGCTGCGTTCCTATACAAGCGCTCCAGGCGACGCAAGCGAGGGAAACACGCCGGCGCGCTCGTGAAATTCCAACAGCGCGGTTTTAGGACTCCGCTGCCGAGCATTCACCTGGCGAATCTCCGCTCCCTAGCAAATAAATCAGACGAACTACGACTCCTCACCCGCACAAACAAGGACTTTTTAAACTCCGCTGCACTCTGCTTCACGGAAACCTGGCTGAACGGAGCCATCCCGGACAACGCGCTACATCTAACGGGCTTCCAGCTGTTCAGAGCGAACCGCGTCACGGAGTCATCGGGGAAAACGAGAGGCGGTGGATTATGTTTTTATATCGAAGGCTGGTGGTGTACAGACGTGACAGTTTTAAAGAAGATGTGCTGCCCAAATTTGGAAGCTCTTTTTATTAACTGTAAGCCTTTTTATTCACCGCGGGAGTTTTCCTCGTTTATTTTGGTGAGTGTGTACATTCCTCCTGACGCGCGTGTGAGCGCCGTGCTAGAACTGTTGGCCGATCAAATTACACACACAGAGCAGCGTTATCCGGACTCTTTCATTATCGTTCTCGGTGATTTTAATAAAGCTAATCTCACCCGTGAACTGCCTAAATATAGACAGCACATCACATGCCCCACCAGAGACAGCAATATACTGGACCACTGCTACACTGTTTTAAAGGATGCATACCACTCTGTCCCCCCTTAATTATTGCCTCTTTCTCAAGTATTATGTAAATACATATGCATATCTCTTTTATTTATACAGTTCTATATAGAGTAAATGATGCACAAATCTGTACATAAATCTACTGTTCCGGATTCATACACATTTATTGTTAAGTTTTACTATTTAAATGTTTTTTTGTTTTGTTTTTTCTGTTCTCATGTCAGATGTGTATGTATGTATGTATGTATGTATTTATGTATGTATGCATGTATGTATGTACCAGGAGCACCTTAAAAAACCACAACAAATTCCTCGTGTGTTTGCACACCTGGCGAATAAAGCTAATTCTGATTCTGATTCTGATATACTGTAAATTCACTTTGCAAAATACAGTCACAATTATGACAAAATTCGCAATTGGTACAGAAGTCACATTATGAGATATAAATTCACACTGCAAAATACCAAGTCACAGTTATGAGATATAAATTCATATAGCAAAATACAAAGTCACAATTCAGTTATGAGCAACAAAGATATGAAGGCACAATTATGATAAAGTTGCAATTGCATTAAAGTTGCAATCAAGAAAAAGTCGCAATTGTAAAATAGATAGTTACAAAATAATTTTACTCTCAAGCAGAAATGGGCTTCCATAGATTTGTCATTTGATAGCAGATGCTTCTTAAATGCCACAGTCAATCTCTCTGCGGTTTGAGGTTTAGTGTACATGAGGAGCTGAATTTTGGTGCAGTGAGGTTTCATTGTGTGCTACTGACAACATGTACAGTAGTTTTGCTTGTCACTGTTGCAGCTGGTTAGGACAGAAATTTTGATTAACATGGAAGAGCTTTTTATTGCTTGTCACACTGTCGCTTCTCACCTAGTTAAGATGCTGTATTACACTTAAAAAAGAGAAAACAGCAGTCTATGACGCACATAGAGCCACCCTCCCGTAGTCAATATAACAACTAAACACTTTCCACAGCTGCTAGCCATTTCAAATTGTGGCAAAATACCCTTCCCCACTGCCATAAAAACTCTTTCATTGGCCATATTGCTTGGCAAGCATGAAATGCGATGCAGGGTTGACCAAAAATAGAATGTGCAAATGTAGGAAAGGGACAGGGTTCACTTGAATGCTAAATAAGAGTGCTCGGAGCAGTTGTCACAGCCTGACATGTGCACTGTTTGTCTGTGGGTACTGTCTGTCTCTCGGGGGGGGCGGGGGCGGGGGGGGAGATGTCAGTTTGCTCACTGCTGACAGCCTGCTTGCTCTGCCAGACCTCCTTAGGACATGCGTCAGAACAAGCCTCACACATACAAACGCAGCCTTTCACGAAGCAGTCTTACCAGCCACCTACACACACACACACAAACCCCTGCTCAGCCAATGGCTTTTTGATTGCTCAACCTTTTGTCAGTTAGTCTCTAATGCATTGGACTGGCATATGATAGTCATGCATCAGACTCAAACACAAGGTACCAGATTGAACAAGTAAAAAAAATAAAACACAAACAACACATTCTGGTCATTATTGATATATGATTGATGGCTGATGTAGGATAATAGAGAGCAAGAGAGAATCTTTCTTTTGAACTGGTTCTTTTTTTAATCATTCAGTCAAATTAATTAAATGGAGAACTTTTGGAGTTAAATTGTGAATTAAATTGTTGTAAATTGAAAACATAGTGATAAACAGCAAACTAATACTGAACTAAAGTGTACTTTACTGAAGCAATATCACACAATAAAGAGTGCTGTTGTTCTTAAAAGTGTTTTTTAATACTCTTATTCAACAAGGATGCAATAAAATGATCAAAAGTGACAGTAAAGACATTTATAATGTTACAAAAGATTTAGAGATTCTTTTTAATTTTATATTTATTAAAGAATACTGAAAAAAATGTATCACGGTTTCCACAAAAATATACAGTTTTCAACTCTTATTTTTTATAATAAGAAGAACCAAATCAGCATAATTAGAATGATTTCTGAAAGATCATGTGAGACTGAAAACTGGAGTAATAGCTGGTGAAAATTCAGCTTTGCCATGACAGGAATAAATTACATTTAATATATATATATAATTTATTATATTTATATATTTTATATACATGAAAATATTTTAAATTATAGTAACATTTCACAATATTACTGTTACTATTGATTGTTTATCAAATAAATGCAGCCTTGGTGTGCATGAAAGACTTCTTTCAAAAACACAACCCCAAACTTTTGAATACTAGTGTAAGTTAATATCAAATAATTCACATTTTAAACAATGTGGCCAGTTATTTTGTTCACTTTTGTTCTGCCAAAGAAAATCGTTTCAAACGAACCCAAAGTAGGGTTTCTGGAACAGCACAAAGAAATATCAGCACTCTTGTCCAATGCAATTAGACGATGAAAACTAATGGTTGTAATATAATGCAAAAATTAAATGTAAGATGCTGCATGGGGACCTCTGGGAAAACCTCTGAGTGATGACTATTATTGCAGGATCGTTTTTGGATCAAACTAAAATACATTTTACTACAAATATGAAACTCAAAATTATTTGCAGGGTCTTCTGGGAAAGCACACAGAATCTGTGCCCATCAGAACTACCCACAAAAAGTCCTGCAGACTTTCTCAGAATTGGAAACCCATTATTGATAAAGTTTCACTCACCACTCACCTCTTTGTTTATTTAATATTTTGGCTTATTGGTTATGCCTTTTTTCTCACTATATCCATTCTGCACATTTTCCCTTAAAATCTGGATTTTTTTATTTAACTGTTAAGGCAAATATCTCTATTCTCTATTATACTGAAGATCATGTGCTGTGATAATATGTGCAATTTGATAAGGCAATCAAATTAGTATATGTATGTCATATCTAACAGTTTTTGAAAGGTTTCTTATATGCTTTGTTAAAACCAGACATATTTTATCATCTTATACCATGTTTTTACGTCAGATATTTTATTGGAGCTCTAAATCTGTCTAAACCAGGTCTCAACTTGATCACCATTGTTGGGCTGAAGCCAGAGACCACGTATGAGGTCAAGATATCAGCCATCAACGGCAAGGGTGAAGGAGAGAGCAGCCCCCCTGAGAGCTTTAAAACCCAACCTGTCCGTAAGTGCCTCTCTCTTTCTGTCTTCCTCTCTCTTTCAGTCTCTTTATCATATGACCCTAGTGCTTTCTTTGCCCATCAACCCCCCCTCCTCAGTGCAGCAGCAGACCTCACTACCCACAATGCATCCCTGCCTTGGACCCTGCTGGATCTCACTCCCAGGAGATGCATTGCTTGTCCTCTCCCTGTGCTTTTGCATTTATATGTGGATGTGCGTGTTCATTTAAGTGTGTGTCTGTGTGTTTAAACAATTTCCTGAAGGCCATCATGTCACTGCAGCCTCTCACCTCAGCAGTGCTTCCCAGTGATGTGGCGCTCCTCCCCGTCCGTCCGCCTCTTCTGCTGGTGCCAGCATGTGTCAGGCAACAGCTGTGTCTCGTGTCTACTGAGAGCTGTGTGCTCTGTTAAGTGTCGTCCGTGTTGATTTGCCACTCTTCTGTAGAGTAGATGATGAAACCCTCTTTAACCTCATATCTACAATCAGATCAGGATTAGACTCTCAGAAATTGTAATATCAATAATAAGATCTAATCTTCATGAAGCTGGGATATTTTGCATTTGTACAACAGTATCATTTGAAGATACTTCCAGATGGCATTTCTCATGTTTAACTAGAACTTATTACTTTCGCTCTAATGTACACTAGGTGTGCGATGAATGTAAGCCTGTTTCTGCCTTAAATTAAAATACTAATAATATTTTAATGACTTTATTTCCAAAATTTTTGATTTTATCATAATTGTTCTTTACAGCTCACAATTGATTGTGACTTTCATTTTTCATAATTGTAACAAAAATCTCAATTTTGGCTTTAAAGCTCACAATTGTGACGCAATATTGTGGCTTTGAATCTCACAATTCAGACTTTCTAGTTCACCTTTATGAATGTTCTAATTGCAGCTTTATATCTCATAATTAAAACTTTGTACCCCAATAATTGCAATGTTATATCTCATAATTATTACTTAGTTTTCATAATTGTAGCATTAAATCTCAATCTCACAATTGTGACTTTGTCATAATAGCAACTTTTTCATACTTAAACTCATAATTGCAACTTTATATTTCACAATGTCACCTTTTTATTATTTTAAGCTTATTTTTTGCACTCAGGTGGAAACAGGCTTATGTACACAGCTATATGAAAGTGAAGTCAGGTGAAATTTGAGGTTGGTTTTCAGTGCTTGACTCTGTGTTGTGGAGCTCTCCACATTAATGAAACATCATCCATATTTAGATTTCACAATGTAGTTTTCAAAATTCCTACAAATCTGCTGGTTTAATTACTGCATGTCACACGAAGCCGTTGGCTCAGAATGTTCCACTTAGAAAGCAGATTAGAAAAGTCAGTTTGCAAGAAAAGTGGGATGAGCACAAACACAGTTCTAGTTTGATTATTCAATTTCCTTCTGCACTCACAGGGATTAAGTGACAAGTTTAAATTGCGGAAAAAGTCTAATTCCTTGTCACTTTATTAATCCAATTTATTGATCCAATTCAGTTGATTCAAAAGCACTTTGTAATAACGTTACGAAAAAGGAGTCATACGGCAGTAAGCTTGATTTCCATTTGAATACCCAGAAGCTTTGGAGGGAATCTTACAAAAATGGGTAAAAAGCTAAAATAACACAAAACAAGACTTGTTTATTCTTCTATTGGGAGTACAATAGCTCATGGCAGGAGTGAATTGCTCCATTGATGTAAGTCAGAGACAGGCTGACATGAATTCTTATCTTACTTTTCTTACCATGTCATCTTTGCTTCAGCACCCTATGTTTTCACAGTCCCTACATTTGCTCTCTCGCTTGCACTCATATTACAACAGCTACTTGGGTCACCCAGTTTTGCCATTTTGGGAATTAACAAGCCATTCACATAGTATATTCTGGCCAAATGTGAGTCAGCAAGGCGATTTTCTCATCACTTTATAAGATGAACCCCAAAATGGCAAGTTGGCCTCTATTTTATTCATTCCTGTTCTTATGTTCACTGGTTTTTATGGTTCTCATCATGCTTTCCATCTTGTTTTGTTCCACTGGACATCAGGGTCCCCTTTCAAAAGTAAGTGTTCCATCTCTCTGCTCTCTTTCTTTCGCATTTCTGTTTGTTTTTCCATTTGCTTCCATTTCAGCCATTGCAACACTCCTGCCAAATCTACTAGTAAGCCTTTAGAGAAGATGGTAAAAGCTTGAATAGGAAGTTAAAGGCTCCATAAAATGGGTTAGAGAGTGCAGTTTTCTTTCCTGCGTTTGAAGGAAGTTGTGTATTTGGAAGGACTCGTCCTTTTTTGAATAGCCAGTAGGCTTTTACTTCACGGTCATGAACAGTGATTGGACCTTGAGATACGTGGTATTTATAATTCACTGAGAAGGCACAGTCTCTTACTAGAGTACATTTGATTGGACAAAAAATGGTGAGGCGTATAGATACAGTATGGACATGGATTCATGGATTTCATGGGGTCTTTAAATAAGAATGTATTGAGAATTCAATGAGTATTTTCGTTTCAAATGGACTCTCGTATTTCAGTGCAAATGAAGTAAAACTGTCTGGGGGGGGATTCAGTGAATTTAAAACTCTTTGCAATAGGTTTTGATTATAGCCTGTGCTTTAAAGAACTGTGGCGACTCACATTATATCTGTTGTTGTACTTACCAGATGGAATTCCATTCTATTACCCAAACAAGGATCTAGGTTTGCTATGAGATCATTTAGACCGGTACATTTTCTTTCCTTCCAGTCCTGGAGGCTCAATTGAGAAAATTGCTTTTTAATCAAAAACCTACAGTAAATATGCACCTGGTTCAACTCAATTATGCCACATGGAGCAATTAACACTTGATTAATTGAATCAGGCGTGTTAGGTCGTGGCTTGAAATGAAAATTTGTCTAGGCTCCCTGGGGTCTGTTGATGAAAAGCCACCGTTTAAACTTTTATGCTGGCATCTTAGTATAAAAGATGGTCATTGGTATGTAGATTTCCCCCTAGTCAGAGTCTGTTTGCAGTTATCTCTCCATTTTCATTCACAGTACTACACATAAAATCCACAGAAGTGTCAAAACAAGCTATTTATTTCACATTCGTAGGATAGTCGCAACCTCGTTGGCTAATGTTGGTGTTTAATTCATAGTTTGTGTGAGGGTGATTGTTTTTCAAAAGTTGAAGTGTAGAATGACTATTGTTTGTTTATGTAACGAAAAGCAAATAACATTGTGATGAAGCTGTTGCTAATTTAATTGACAGTATTTTCTTGTTGTGGCTCTCTGTTGTTCTCATTATCCCTGACAGGAATCATTTGACTTCGGAAGCTTTCTCATGATCATTACACGGCGGAATAAAAAAGAGGCGATGGGCGAGGCAGAGACCGTATCTCGTAATGGTAGTGTGATGCGGTCGTGTTCAGATGAGATTGACGGCATTTTCCGCTCTTTCTCTGGAACTATACATGCGTGAATTTAAGAGGTGATTGGCAGGACAATGATCCAGGCACTTCAAACACTTATTGATCATTTATCAATTTGTAGATGACAAAACGAGACCGCCGGCAGCATCGACACTTATCGAATTATGGCTTCACAAATCTGGTGACAGTCCAGATTGGGTTTATTTGTTTCGAGTTTCCAAACCAAAGCCAAAATTACTTCTTTTACAGTTCTTCAGAAATCCTCAGAAGTAATCCTAACAATAGCAGAATGTTTTTTCAAGCTTTCTTTTCTCTCTTTGATTATGAACAATCATAATCAAGTTGTTTGTTATCTCAGAAACAATGAGTCTTGCTATAATTCACCCAAAAATGAAAATTTTGTTATTTCTTGATTTACAACCTCATGTCATTTCAAACCTCTATGCTATTATTTTCTCAATGTCCATGCTAAAAAGCTTTCACCAGCCTAAACTGGTTTGCGGGTCTTGGGTGGTCTTCTAGCCTGGTCTTTTGACTGATTTTCGACGGGTTTTAGCCACTTTTTTGGAGGTCCAGTAGACAAGCTTAGACTGGTTTTGGTGTTTTTTTTCAGCAGGTGGAACACAAAAGGAACGTTTTTAAAGATATTCACACTAATTTTTCCATACTCAAATAATTTACAGTGACCACTGGTGCAAAAAAGTGAAAGTAGTTTAAAATACGATTTCTGACGCAGTAGCTTTGTTTCATGAACAGATCAAAATTTAAATAATTATTTACTGTCAAATGAGCAGGTTGGGTGTCAATAAAATGAGTTGGTTTTCACATCTTGTGACCAAATATTGTTAAACCTGTGCCGTAGACATCATATTTAATTTGACATGCTATACAGTTTGACTTAAGAGTCAGTAATGACATAACTCCACTCTGTTCCTCATATAAAAAGCTATCATATGACTTCAGACGACTTCAAACATAGTTTATGAGTCATGGACCACTTTTTGAAGTGCCTTTGTAGCTTGATAGATTGGTCACTATGTACTGCCATTGAAAACAGGAAGTCAGAAATTATTTCAAATGGTTCCTTTTGTGTTCCACAGACAAAAGTAAAAGCATACAGCTTTGGAGCGACATGAAGTTGGGTGAACTATTTCTTTAACAGTTAGGGAAGTATGAGAGATTGACTCCATCCATTATAAAGCAACATCATGTCTGTAGTGAGTGGCGTAGTTTGACGTAGATGGAGCTTCAAGTAAGATGTACGGTAGTGCTCTCAGGTGCGTGTCAGAGATTTATCACCACAGGCCATCCCACAGTCTCAGCCAATAGAGTGCCCAGAGCGCCAGAGGAAGAGGAAGACAATGACACAAAAGACGTTGTTGCCAGTACCGTGACTGAAAATATTTCTCCTCAAGAGCAGGGATCCGTGCCTCTGGCCTCCACAGCCTGTGGAAATTGTAAAAGAGCACTATATAATTCACATTACTGCGGTATGTGCTGCAGGGACCAGTGATTCAAAGCGCGAGAGCTCCCTCTCCATTTTATATGCTATGAGCGTGAATGAAGAGGCTGGGATTGTGTATGGAGATGGAGTGATGACAAAGCTAGCCTTTTCATTCACGCTCATAGCACATAAAATGGAGAGGGAGCTCTCATGATATGAATCACAGGTCCCTGCAGCACATACGACAGTAATGTGAATTATATAGTGCTCTTTTACAATTTCCACAGGCTGTGGAGGCCAGAGGCACGGATCCCTGCTCTTGAGGAGAAATATTTTCAGTCACGGTACTGGCAACAACGTCTTTTGTGTCATTGTCTTCCTCTTCCTCTGGCGCTCTGGGCACTCTATTGGCTGAGACTGTGGGATGGCCTGTGGTGATAAATCTCTGACACGCACCTGAGAGCACTACCGTACATCTTACTTGAAGCTCCATCTACGTCAAACTACGCCACTCACTACAGACATGATGTTGCTTTATAATGGATGGAGTCAATCTCTCATACTTCCCTAACTGTTAAAGAAATAGTTCACCCAACTTCATGTCGCTCCAAAGCTGTATGCTTTTACTTTTGTCTGTGGAACACAAAAGGAACCATTTGAAATAATTTCTGACTTCCTGTTTTCAATGGCAGTACATAGTGACCAATCTATCAAGCTACAAAGGCACTTCAAAAAGTGGTCCATGACTCATAAACTATGTTTGAAGTCGTCTGAAGTCATATGATAGCTTTTTATATGAGGAACAGAGTGGAGTTATGTCATTACTGACTCTTAAGTCAAACTGTATAGCATGTCAAATTAAATATGATGTCTACGGCACAGGTTTAACAATATTTGGTCACAAGATGTGAAAACCAACTCATTTTATTGACACCCAACCTGCTCATTTGACAGTAAATAATTATTTAAATTTTGATCTGTTCATGAAACAAAGCTACTGCGTCAGAAATCGTATTTTAAACTACTTTCACTTTTTTGCACCAGTGGTCACTGTAAATTATTTGAGTATGGAAAAATTAGTGTGAATATCTTTAAAAACGTTCCTTTTGTGTTCCACCTGCTGAAAAAAAACACCAAAACCAGTCTAAGCTTGTCTACTGGACCTCCAAAAAAGTGGCTAAAACCCGTCGAAAATCAGTCAAAAGACCAGGCTAGAAGACCACCCAAGACCCGCAAACCAGTTTAGGCTGGTGAAAGCTTTTTAGCATGGACATTGAGAAAATAATAGCATAGAGGTTTGAAATGACATGAGGTTGTAAATCAAGAAATAACAAAATTTTCATTTTTGGGTGAATTATAGCAAGACTCATTGTTTCTGAGATAACAAACAACTTGATTATGATTGTTCATAATCAAAGAGAGAAAAGAAAGCTTGAAAAAACATTCTGCTATTGTTAGGATTACTTCTGAGGATTTCTGAAGAACTGTAAAAGAAGTAATTTTGGCTTTGGTTTGGAAACTCGAAACAAATAAACCCAATCTGGACTGTCACCAGATTTGTGAAGCCATAATTCGATAAGTGTCGATGCTGCCGGCGGTCTCGTTTTGTCATCTACAAATTGATAAATGATCAATAAGTGTTTGAAGTGCCTGGATCATTGTCCTGCCAATCACCTCTTAAATTCACGCATGTATAGTTCCAGAGAAAGAGCGGAAAATGCCGTCAATCTCATCTGAACACGACCGCATCACACTACCATTACGAGATACGGTCTCTGCCTCGCCCATCGCCTCTTTTTTATTCCGCCGTGTAATGATCATGAGAAAGCTTCCGAAGTCAAATGATTCCTGTCAGGGATAATGAGAACAACAGAGAGCCACAACAAGAAAATACTGTCAATTAAATTAGCAACAGCTTCATCACAATGTTATTTGCTTTTCGTTACATAAACAAACAATAGTCATTCTACACTTCAACTTTTGAAAAACAATCACCCTCACACAAACTATGAATTAAACACCAACATTAGCCAACGAGGTTGCGACTATCCTACGAATGTGAAATAAATAGCTTGTTTTGACACTTCTGTGGATTTTATGTGTAGTACTGTGAATGAAAATGGAGAGATAACTGCAAACAGACTCTGACTAGGGGGAAATCTACATACCAATGACCATCTTTTATACTAAGATGCCAGCATAAAAGTTTAAAC